CCCCAAAACCCCAAAACCCCAAAACCCCAAAACCCCAAAACCCCAAAACCCCTAACGTTAAATTTTATATTGAACAATCTGGCTATTTATTCTGCACTGATGACTTTTGGTAAAGCTGGACCATTCTTTTCAAGATTTTAGCCTTCTCAGGTTTGGTACATTTTCTCCTAAACAATTAGATTAAAACTAACTCTTTATCTTTGCCGTAGGTTTTGCAAGCTTCACTAAGAGTCAGTTTGAAGTCTTCTAGATATTTATTTGTTTTTAACAATTTTGTCCCCATCATGTTAGTTGACTGAGGAGACATTGTCCCTTTGGTCGTTCCAGCTGTTTTAGTAGGTCCGTTGAGGAACAAGTTCTTTCCATAAGTGTTTTCTAAATCTTTGGCAAAGGACATTGGATTCCCTGTTGAGTTTAGTATCATGTCTAGCAAGCTTTGTTGGGGGCTCATCGTCGTCTGATTGTTCTTACTTGAGCTCTTAGTTGATTTATGAGACTTCTTCGTTAAAAACATGCTTCTTTGAGTCTGACTAAAACTCATGTTATTTTTGGATTTCTTAGGCACCCTCTTTGGACTAGTTTTACTAACTATTGATCGGCTTTCACTCTTGCCTGGAGAAATTATTTGGGAGTTTCAGCAAGACTTTTTCAAATTCCTTGAAATTAAAGCCCTCGTGGAGTTCTTATTAGGAGTCCCTTTCTTTGATTTTGGTTTCTTGATCTTCAATGTTATAATCTGTGAATGATTCAATGCTCCTTTAGTCTTTTTATTCAACTGTTTTCAAAGAAACGGGCTTTTATTAATAGAATATCGCTTTAACTTAGTCATCAAGCTCTCTACTTTCTTAACCTTCTTATGAAGAGATCCTCTCTTCTGAGAGCTTCTGCTTCTCGAGGTAGACTTCCTTATATTAGAAGCCTTGATCTTCAATTTCTTATACCTTTGAGAGCCCTTCATTGGTCTATCATAAATCTGGACACTTTGATGTGACATCCTGCGTGATTTAAACTTGCTTTGAATCTTATTATTCGAAGAAGGCTTTTCAGTTGCCATCACAGAGCGGTTAAAATTCTTACTTTTTCTCGCAAGACTTTTATTGTACAACTTCTTCTGCTTCTGTAAATTAATCCTACAACTTCAAAGAGAGTTCTTCTTAGCCTTTGTGCTAGACTTCTTAGAGATCTTCTTCTTATATTTTATCGCTCTATGTATCCCTGACTCATTATTTTATGGTGAACTCTTCAGATTTAATAGGCATTTTATTAAGGTTGATAAAGTTCTTTCATATATTTTCTGAGCTATTATCTCGAGAAATATCTTTGCTTTTATTTGGCTGGGCTTCTCACTTCTCTGACTTAGAATTCATGTTAGCATTTTTCTTTCTTCTTAATTTACTTAATAGTCTAAACTTAAAGAAAAACATTACCTTGAGAAGCGTTCTCGAGCTCTTTCAGCATTCAATCGAGAGTTTTCCTTCAGCTGCTCTGTGTCGAGGAAGTATTTTCCCTTTTTGATACAAGGCTCTTGTAATACTTCGGATTCTGGGATCATCACTTGTTGAGAGTACTCTTTTTCTCAACTGTCGAAAAAGTCATTAAGACTTTCCATCATCCTAAAGTAAGTTGTAGGTAAAAATAAAACATGAATGGAAATAACCAATTCACTGGAGTAGGTTATAAACCTCATGCTTCTAACTTTCGCAACTTTATGCTTATACATGAAATCATTTTTGTATGACCAATATTGATATTGTTAAGATATTTCTGCATCATTTTCAAAATTGATTTTCAAAATGATGCAAGAAACTTACCAAATATCTTCTCTTGGTTCAAAAATACTAAACTGGTGATTAATAGAATCTTCTTCCATTTATGTAGTAAATCTGGCCTTAAATATTTAAATATTTACAATAAATCACTCATTCAAAGGGGTTTTGGGGTTTTGGGGTTTTGGGG